ACATATATCAATTAGAACAAATAAATAAAAAAAAATAATAGCAATATCCTCTTCTCATACATATTAATATATGAGTAACCGGTTTTAAAATTTTAAATAACCGAAAAATTATTGAGTGAAATTTTTTTGAAAATACGTTATTTTAATAAAAATTTGAAAATATTTATAAGAAATGCAAATCTTTGTCATTTAAAAGAAATGGGAATGAGTAACCGGTTTCAAATAAATAAAATAACCGAACAATTTGTGGTGTAAAATTAATTGAAAATCCGTTATATTTAATAAGGACTGCTTTATGTTTAAAAGTAAATTATAGACAACCTAAAAATTATAAAATTTCTTTAAATTGCAAAAAGTAACCGGTTCTAACAATTAAATATCTCGGATATGACATGATAACCAACAGTAATTCATTCAATAACCAATAATTGTCACCAGCGGCACTTACATCGATCTGAATTAGTGCCAAAATTTGCAACATGTTCATAACAATAAATGAGTAACCGGTTCAAACAGAATTAAATGAACTGTGTGGATTTTAAAATTAAAATATAAAAAAACTACAAAAAAACGAAGATGAAAAAGTAACCGTAAAAATGTGAACAGTTGTATTTAATATAAACCGATTTTACTTGATCTGTAATCGGTTTTCAAAATAAGAACTCACTAAAAAAAAAAAATTAAAACCTGAAAAACAGTAAACCGTGGAAAATTTCAACAATATAAATTAATTTTGATCAAATTTTATCCAAACTACAAAAAGTAACCGGTTCCAAATATATTTTAAATCCGGTAAAAACTCGAAAGGAGCTAATAAGCGTATAAATCTGTTCAATCCACGAGAAATGTATACGATTGTTTTTAATTCATGGCAACATTTGCTTGAACGGCAAAAAGTAACCGGTTCACTTAAATCGGATAATTGTGAAAATTTAATATTTTTCTACAAGTAATAATAGTTTTCAAATAAATATCAAGTTTATGTGGTTTCCCATGCCAAGATACGGCTATATTGAGGAAGTATGAACCGGTTTTTCTTGGACAGTAACCGGTTCTCAGTGTGTTCAATCGCTAAAAAAATTGTTTAAACCTGAAAAACTAATTAATTTAAAAAATAAATGAGAATTTCTGAAATTTATTTCATATTTAGTCCAATTTTACGTAAAATATAAAAAGTAACCGGTTCTTAATATTAAAAAAAAAAAAAATAAAAAATCGAAAAATTTTAAACAAATTAGTGGAATCTAATAATAACACAGGCAATTTATGAAATCGTTTTTCTTTATGCCAAAATTAGCTTTAATGGCAAAAAGTAACCGGTTCAGCTAGATCCGATAATTGTGAAAATTGGATATTTTTCTAAAAATAATAATAGTTTTTAAATACATATCAAGTTTAAGTGACTTCTCATGGCAATATACGGTTACATTGGGGAAATATGAACCGGCTTTTCTTGAACAGCAACCTGTTTTCAAAATAAGAAATCGATAAAAAAATAGTAAAAATCCGAAAAACTATGAAATCATTGGAAAAACATTGAAAATTTCAAAAACCTAAATTTATTTTAGTCGAAATTTAAGCAAACTATCAAAAGTAACCGGTTCCAATTACCCTAGTAAATGATTCAAAAACTCCAAAATATGCTAAAAGCGGATAGATCTGTTAAATCCACAAGCTATTTATGAAATCGTTTTTCTTTATGCTAAAATTAGCTTTAATGACAAAAAGTAACCGGTTCAGCTATATCCGATAATTGTGAAAATTGTATATTTTTCTAAAAATAATAATAGTTTTTAAATACATATCAAGTTTAAGTGATTTCTTATGCCAAGATAAGGTTACATTGGGGATATATGAACCGGTTTTTCTTGAACAGTAACCGGTTTTCAAAATAAGAAATCACTAAAAAATAGTGAAAATCTGAAAAACTACGAAATCTTTGGATAACGTTGATAATTTAAACACATATATAAATAATTTTTAGTTAAATTTTATCCGACCTATAAAAAGTAACCGGTTCCAAATATATTAGTAACGGATTTATAGACTTGAAAAAAGCTTAAAAGTTATAAATTTGTTGAATTCTCGATAAACAGAAGTCATTTGTTTTTATGTCTTGCTAAAATTTGCTTGAATGGCAATAAGTAACCGGTTCAGCTATATTCGATAAGTGTGACAATTGAATATTTTTCAATAAATAATAAAAGCATTAAAGTAGATATTATGTTACGTGATTCCCCACGCCAATTTAGGTAATATTCGGGTTAACGAACCGGGTTTTCTTCCATTATAACCGGTTTTCTGGGAATGTTTCATAAAATAACGACAATATTGTATTTTTGTTCCTGCAAAAAATAACAGCTGTAAAAAAATTTCGAGTTCAAGTTATTTTTCATGCCAAGGTGCGGTTTTATTCCGGTTTATGAACCGGTTTTTGGGGAAAGTCTCATAAAACAAAGAGATAATTGAATTTTTTTTCCATCCAACAATAATAATATTAAAATAAATATTAAGATACGGTTATATTCATGTCATGTGAACCGGTTTTTTGATTTGTAACCGGTTTTCAGGAAAATTTTCATATAACTTAGAGAAAATTGCATTTCTTTTCCTTTCAACAATAACAGTATTAAAATAAATATCGAGTTCAACTAATTACTCATGCCAATAGACGATTATGTTCCGGTTTATGAACCGGTTTTCTGGGAAATTTTCATAAATCAAAGAGAAAATTGCATTTTTTCCTTCTAACAATAATAATATTAAAATATATATTAAGATACGGTTAAATTCATGTCATGTGAACCGGGTTTTCTTGATTTGTAACCGGTTTTCTGGGAAAATTTCATAAATCAAAGAGTAATTTGCATGGTTTTCCTGCGAATAATATCAGTATTAAAATAAATATCGAATTCAAATATTTTCTCATGCCAATAGACGGTTATATTCCGGTTTATGAACCGGTTTTCTGGGAAATTTTCATAAAACAAAAAGAAAATTGCATTATTTTCCTTCTAACAATAATAATATTGAAATAAATATTAAGATACGGTTATATTCATGTTATGTGAACCGGTTTTTTTTTGGTTTATAACCGGTTTTCTGGGAAAATTTCATAAATCAAAGAGTAATTTGCATTGGTTTCCTGCGAATAATAATAATATGAAAATAAATGTCGAGGTCAAATAATTTCTCATGCGAAGACACGGTAATATTCCGGTTTATGAACCGGTTTTCTTGGAAATTTTAATAAAACAAAGAGAAAACTGCCTTTTTTCCCTTCTAGCAATAATAATATTAAAATAAATATTAAGATACGGTTATATGCATGTCATGTGAATCGGGGTTTCTTGATTTGTAACCGGTTTTTAGGGAAATTTTCATAAATCAAAGAGTAATTTGCATTGTTTTCCTGCGAATAATAACAGTATTAAAATAAATATCGAGTTCAAATAATTTCTCATGCCAATGCACGGTTATATTCCGGTTTATGAACCGGTTTTCTGGGAAATTTTCGTATAACAAAGAGAAAATTGAATTTTTTCCCCCTCTAACAATAATAGTATTAAAATAAATATTAAGATACGGTTATATTCATGTCATGTGAACCGGGTTTTCTTGGTTTGTAACCGGTTTTCTGGGAAATTTGCATAAATCAAAGAGTTAATTGCATTGTTTTCCTGCAAATAATAACTGTATTAAAATAAATATCGAGTTCAAATAATTTCTCATGCCAATACACGATTATGTTCCGGTTTATGAACCGGTTTCCCGGGAAATTTTCATAAAACAAGGAGAAAATTGCATTTTTTCCTTCTAACAATAAAAATATTAAAATAAATATTAAGATACGGTTATATTCATGCCATGTAAACCGGGTTTTCTTGTTTTATAACCGGTTTTCTGGGAAATTTTCATAAATCAAGGAGTAAATTGTATTGTTTTCCTGCGAATAATAACAGTATTAAAATAAATATCGATTTTAAATAATTTCTCATGATTGTACACGGTTATATTCCGGTTTATGAACCGGTTTTCTGGGAAATTTTCGTAAAACATAGAGAAAATTGCATTTTTTCCTTCTAACAATAAAAGTTTTAAAATAAGTATAATTTTTAAGTGATTTTTCATGCCAAGATAGGGTCATATTCATGTAGGGTGAACCGGGTTTTCTTGACTTGTAACCGGTTTTCTGGTAAATTTTCATAAAACAAAGAGTAAATTTTATAATAAATAAATATTAACATTAAAAAGATTTCTCATGCCAATATACGGTTATATTTGCGAAATATAAATCGGGTTTTCTTGATATGTAACCGGTTTTTAGGGAAATTTCCATAAAACAAAACAGAAAATTGCAATTTCTTCCTGCAAATAATAACAGTCTTAAAAAAATATCATGTTTAAGTTATTTTTCGTGCCAGGATACGGTTATATTCGTGAAATAAAAACCGGGTTTTCTTGATTTGTAATCGGTTTTCTAGGCTTTTGCTGCAAATAATAACAGTATTGAAATAAATATCAGGTTTAAGTGATTTTTCATGTCAAGATACGGTTATATTCGAAAAATATAAACCGGTTTTTATTGATTTGTAATCGGTTTTCTTGGTTTTTGCTGCAAATAATAACGGTATTGAAATAAATATAAAGTTTATGCTATTTCTCATGCCAAGATACGTTAATATTTATGTCAGGTGAACCGGTTTTTCTTGCTTTATAACCGGTTTTGTGGAAAATTTCCCTTAAACTAAGAGTACGAATTTAAGTTTAGTCTATTAAACATTTACAAATGTCAATGGACAATAACTGAGTAGGTTTTCTAAACGGGTTTGTGACAAATAAACGGTTTCAGGTTAAAGAAAGAAAGAAAAAAAAAAACACTTTAAAATAATCTCAACTGTCTGCCAGTCTGTTTGCCCATAAAATTTTTACTGCCTTTCATTCTACTGAAATATAAAAATAATCAACCATTCTTTTTCCCTCCACCCCTCCCCCTCCAG